TGGCCAACATGGTGAAACCCCATCTCTACTAAAAATACAAAAAATTAGCTGGGCATGGTGGCATGTGCCTGTTAGCTACTCAGGAGGCTGAGGCAGGAGAATTGCCTGAACCCAGGAGGCGGAGGTTGCGGTGAGCCGAGATCGCGCCGTTGCACTCCAGCCTGGGTAACAAGAGCGAAACTCCGTCTCAAAAAATAAAAATAAAAATAAAAATCCCCTTAATGGGCTAGTCACAGCTACCTCCTGTTTATAAAAAGCATCTCTCCTCGAGAAGCTCACTATATTAAAGCATCCATCTCTCCTTATCCCATGTTGTCGAAGTAAACAGAACCAGCTATGATATGCCCTGTTAAATCAAAATGACTTGGCTAAAGCCTAACCAGACTAGAATTTAGGCTTCCTGAGTCAGCTGTGATTCCATTCCCTCTGTCTTCTTGAATAAAGGTCACTATGAATATGGATGTCACAAATTGTCTCATAAGAGACATTCAAGTCCAAAGCTGACTACTTAATACTCCTTAGGCAAGGAAAATGGCCACAGTCAGTAATTGTCATTGATCTTGACCTTGTCAAATCCTCTTAAGGTGAAATCTAGAAAATCAGTCTTGACAGAAAATGTGGAGGTGGCTAAAAGCAGGGTAGATGATGATTCAGCAGATGACCGCTGAGTCATAATGGGCCTGTGCCCATTGTAGGGAAGCTCAGGGCTTCTGGAACTGCTGTGTAAGGATGAGATGCAAAGTGGAATTTGAGGTCAACAATCTTATTTTGTAAAAGATTATACTGTATCCTTCCTCTACTCCCCATTCCACCTTTCCAAAAACAGTAAAATTAAAAAAAAAAAAAAAATTGTGCCAGGCACAGTGGCTCATGCCTGAAATCCCAGCACTGTGGGAGGCCAAGGTAGGTGGATCACTTGAGGTCAGGAGTTCAAGACCAGCCTAGCCAACATGGTGAAACCCCATCTCTACTAAAAATACAAAAATTCACCAGGCGTGTGGTGCATGCTTGTAATCCCAGCTGCTTGGGAGGCTGAGGCAAGAGAATTGCTTGAACCCAGGAGACAGAGGTTGCCATGAGCCAGGATTGAGATCATGCCACTGCACTCCAGCCTGGGCAACAGAGGGAAATCCAAATTAAAAAAAAAAAAAAAAAAAAAAAAGGTTTTAAAACCTCACTAAGGCCAGGCATGGTGGCTCACACCTGTAATCCCAGCACTTTGGGAGGTTGAGGCAGGTGGATCATAAGGTCAGGAGTTCAAGACCAGCCTGGCCAAAATGGTGACACCCCATCTCTACTAAAAAATACAAAAAATTAGCCGAGTGTGGTGGTGGGCGCATATAATCCCAACTACTTGGGAGGCTGAGGCAGAGAATTGCTTGAACCTGGGAGGCAGAGGTGGCAGTGAGCTGTGATTGCACCACTGCACTCCAGCCTGGGTGACAGAGTGAGACTCCATCTCAAAAAGACAAAACAAAACAAAACAAAACCCTCACTGAACCCAATCTAGCTATCTATCATAAACTAAATCAAATGATTTTCCTTTCATTAAACCCCACAATTTGTGACATTAAATTTATCATGAGAATGGCTTTAAATGGAAACCTGATTTGGAAGGTTTTAATTCAAGTCTATTAGATTTAAGTATGTTGTTAAAAATGAACAAGAAGCTCACCACCAGCCAAAACCACATTTGAAATTTTGTCCTTGCTCCTGCATTGAAAAAAGCCAAATAGGGGTGGCACATTGAAAACCCACGTTTTCAACTTAGGTTAGTTATGATGCTGGTCTTTTCTATTGGAAAATAAATTACCCAACGTGAGGACTGAGTGAATCATCCTTGCCTTGACCCAAGGGCCTCAGTGACTATGGACCAGAAACTTGCAGGATGGGATTGGAGAGATCAGAGACACTGAGCCAGTTAAGAAGCTCTGCTAGGTTATATGTATGTATCTGCAGGTGTGAAAGACCTGTGTTAAGTCACCCAATACTTTTGGAAAATGGTTTTGAAATAAGGAGATATTAGTTTTAGCAGTTTTTTTTTAAATAGAAATCACTGACATTTCAGTGTCTTATACTAGTACATATATTTTTAAGTTCAGGCATTCAATAATAATTTACTGTGTGCTTACTCTGGACATCCTGGAATTATGGTACACTTCCATGGCTTTAGATTCCAGATGTGCTCAGCAAATCTGTTACATTATTGGAGTAAGGAAGAATAGCTTAGCTTAGTTCTCAAGATGTGGAGATTGGAGTAGCCGAATCAAGAAACTTTCTGGTAAAAGAGGGAAGAAAAGCCTCAGATATTTCACAGGAGGTATTGCCTAATTCACCTTCCTCTCAGAAGTTTGCCTTCTGATGGAGTGTGCATTGCCCATGCTCTGCGCTGCATTCACGGCATTTCTGACACTCACGAGGAAGGAGAAATGTAGGTAGAGGGTACGATGCAGCAAGCTCATCACATCCAGCAGCTGGAGAAATGAAATCAGGAAGAAAAGAAAGGTGAGCAAAAGAGGGAGAAGGAAGCTGAGTAGAAAAGAGGAGGAAACATTATATAAGGGGCAGGAATAGATCTTTCTGGCAGCTGCCTGAGTTAGGTTCCATACGATAGGATACTTCCCTTTGCTGTCTAAATTTTGTGCTCACTAAGGCTGGTGGAGGATAGGTCTGATAAGGGTAGTAGTAGGGAATCGGGAGGAAGGCAGTCTAAAATTCCTTTGCACTGCTCAACTTTCACCTTTGTGCTTTGGTTCGGAGTTCTAATGAATGGGGCAGAGAGAGACAGGTTTCTAATTTGGGACAGGGAGAAGTCAGCCTTAATTTATACAGTGTGGCCCATTACAAAAAGAAAAGAAAAGCTGTTTCATTTATATGCCCCTTCTTCTCTCAGAAAGTGCTACATTCAGTTGCTTTGTGATACTTGTGGTTACCAGTTTGGTTTTCATATCAGCACTTAAAGTCTGGTTTTCTTTCCTTCTTTTTTATTTTTATTTTTTTTTTTTTTTTGAGATGGAGTTATGCTCTTGTTGCCCAGGCTGAAGTGCAATGGCGATTTTGGCTCATCACAACCTCCGCCTCCTGGGTTCAAGTGATTCTCCTGCTTCAGCCTCCTGAGTAGTTGGGATTAGAGACATGTGCCACCACACCTGACTAATTTTGTATTTTTAGTAGAGAGAGGGTTTCTCCATGTTAGTCAGGCTGGTCTCGAACTCCTAACCTCAGGTGATCCGCCCACCTCAGCCTCCCAAAATGCTGGGATTACAGGCGTGAGCCACCGCACCCAGCTGAACTCTGGTTTTCTAGGTTAGAGTATTTTATTTCCTGATCTCCTGTAGGGGGCAGAGTCTCAAAAGAAAAAGGCAAAAATCTGTTAAGCAGACTTCTGAATGTTTTTTAAATTACCTGGGAGGCTGTTCATTAAATCAGAGATTATTATAGCAGATGGAACGTTAAAAATTGATCTGTGTTTCTCACAAACACAGTTAATCTAAACCAGCTGCTTCTTCCTTTTGTACCTATGTCTTCTAACTTTGCATCCTCATAAAAACACACCTTCAGTGAAGAAGCTGGTGGCATAGCATGTTGACATTCCAGAATGCCAAAAACTTTAGCACACTGTTTTTAATGAGTTTTGGCTTTATATATTATTTTAAGAAGTGGCTAATTCACTGTATTTCATGCTTTTAGTGTGCCCTTTATAAGTTTTTATGTCTACTCAGTTCTTCCCCCTTTAAATAGTTTCAATGAATAAACTTTAAAAGTGGAAGATTGCACAGAGTAGCTCTTTATTATGATGTCATTTACTTGCTGTTCAGGGGAGCCACAAATGTTGGCTATTAAATCTACAAAATAGTGCAATTGGCCTTGTTTCATTAAATTCTTTCTGTAAATGAAGAATTTTCTATATACTTCTTTAAAACTTAAACAGCCCTGCAGAAAAAATGGACCATGGTTATCCAAAAATGCCTGAGGTTATGATTTTAAAAATGTATACTGATGCATAACTGTGTATTTCTTAAATGTGTGCTTGATTTTTGATAGTAGTATCTGATTATGTGTGACTATTCCATGGCTTCCTCTGCAGCTCCAGGGTTGTGCTGAGCTTAGGAAGCCCCAGCCATAGTGGTCTTTTTTTTTTTTTTTTTTTCAACCTCCACTTTCCAGGTTCAAGCGATTCTCCTGCCTCAGCCTCTTGAGTAGCTGGAATTACAGGCGCATGCCACCACGCCTGGCTAATTTTTGTATTTTTAGTAGAGATAGGGTTTGACCATGTGGGTCAGACTGGTCTCGAACTCCTGACCTTGTGATCCGCTCGCCTTGGCCTCCCAAAGTGCTGGGATTACAGGTGTAAGCCACTGTGCATGGCCTCATAGTGGTCTTCTTTCTGTTCCTGGAACCTACTATGATTATGCCCACCTCTACGAGCCTTACACTTCCTAGTTCTACTTCCGGAAATTTTGAAATTTGAAAACTTAGTTCTTCCATTCATTCTATCATTTATTGTGTGCCCAGAAACTTGAATGCTTTTTTGTTTGTTTGTTTTGGACCCTAGATGAGTCAGTGCTGCAGGAAGGCAGACATGGTCCTTGCCCTCATGAAATTTGCAATCAACTAGGGAAGACAAGACACAAATCAAATACTCACATCAGTGATTGTCAAAAGGCAGCTGTGACAATTGCTACAGATGTGAGGCCCATGCATTGGGTTAGAGAACTCTCAGAGATGGTGCCAGGTAGAACTATGTGAAATTACAGATTTTCAGTCATTCTTGACCTATAAAAATAAAGACAGTTCAGATTACATTTCATGTTTGATCCTGAAGTCACAGCAAGTTCTTGAGCAGAGAAGCACATGATGGGAATGGTATTTAAGAACAGTTAATTTGGTGGTACAGCTTTTCAGGGGCATCTCTGTAGCAGCAAATGAGGCATGCTTCTTCAGTGAAATTACTGGTTGAAGTTTAAAATTATGTTTGGCAATGGGGAACCTGTGTTATATTAATGCTAAAACAAATGACTATACAGCTTATTAAAATATTTATGAAGTACATACCTGTATGTGATTCTAAATTAGGTTATTCACCAAATGCCATATAAATTAGATTAAAGCAATAGCTTCTGGCTTTTTTTTTAGTTTAAAAAAAAGTTTTAATTGACACGTACATATTTATGGGGTACAAAGTGATATTGCAATACGTATGTATATGATCAGATCAGGGTAATTAGGATATCCATCATCTCAAACATTTGTCATTTCTTTGTGTCGGGAGCATTCAATATCTTCTAGGTATTTGAAACTACATATTATTCTTAACTATAGTCATCCTACAGTGCTATTGAACACTAGAACTTATTCCTCCTATCTAAGCAGCTCTGTTTTCTTTAGGAATTTGACATTTGTACCTGCCTATTTGCACTTAATAGATACATGGTTTTCTTGGCACTAGCACACACAGATATTTTTCCTATAATTTCCCAGCAATCAAGAAACCTAGCAATTGAGTAGTATAATAAAAGGGCCCAAGGACTTATTTCTGAGTGACAAGAGACAAAGCTCACCTTTGGAAGTGTTCCTTGTATGACAGTTTTGTAATCTGGAGATGAAATTGGATGGCCCACTGTAAGGCAGTGTTCACAATTCTGAACTGAATTTGAACGTGGTAACGCCAAAGATAGCAAGAAAAACAGTGAGCCTAGGGGACCCCCTACACCATTTTCACTCTGTCAGATTTTATGGTTTTACTCCTTGGCTGCTGTTTAACCTCTTGGGACTGCTGTTGGTAATTACGTCTCTCTGGCATTAAGAGCTTTTTTTGCTTTCCTTTTTTCCCCTCCAACCCTTGGGAGGGGTAAACCCAAGAGGTGGTGGGGAGAAGTTTTGCTGTGAATTCTTCAGCCATTTAGTGCAAATTCCTGTAATTACCGGCATTGTGTCTTCTCTGAATGGCACATAATACAGCAGAAGCCATTCCTAATTGAGACCTTACAGGAGGTACAAATCCCGTCTTTGTTCAGCCTGACAAATTAGTGCCAGAAAGTGGCAGGGTCTGAGTGGGAATCAAAGGCAAGAAACACAAAGATGGAACTTAAGGCTACAGTAATAACCCTCTCTTGTCCTGAAGGGAAAAAAGTAATGACCAATGAAAAATGAAGTTTTTTTGTTATAAATTCCCTTGACATGACAGCACCTCGGGGCTGCTCTATTTATTTAGCAAAAGTGATTAAATAGTAATACAACAGGGCTGCCCATTGTTTCCCTGGGTGCCCCCACCTCACAGACCCCTGCTGCCTGGGCTAATTGATTGACAATGAACCTCTGATAAAGAAGTATGTTGTTAGGACCTGGGATGGAGGGGGGAGCATTTTCTTCCTCTTTGTGTGTTTGAGAGCGAGAAAGAGAGAGAGAGAATTTCATTTTTGTTTGAATTGCACTCTAGTTTTTCTTTGCCCCACCCCACCCCCTCTTTCCCCTCTTCTCCCTCTTCTCTCCCCTGCCTTATTTTCTTCCCTGCTTCCCGAGCGCTGCCCCCCCCACCAAGCTTTTCAGCGGTTCCTCCCAGCCAACATTCACAAACAGGTAGAGGGCAATTAGAATTGTCATGCAGACTTTTGACAAGTTTATCTTCATAGCTAACTTCCTCTCCCCATACTCTGTTTAAGCCTGAACAGCAGTATAAGAAGAAAGAAAAAGGGAAGGGGACTAATTATTGGTGCTTTAATGAGAAAAGTTGTGCTTTTTAGTTTTTTATTTGTGGGAACAGATGTCTGAAACTTGCCATTGCACTAAGATTTTCTCTTAAATACCTTGCTTAACTTTAGAAAAATCTATGTACTAATAACATTTATATGTTTAGTGGGGGAGTTGTGGAATAGAAATAAAAACTCAAATTTTTATCCTCTCCTTAGTAACCAAGAAGTCAAGATTAATTATTTGAGGATAAAATCTGGCTGCTTGTGGTGTAACTTAGTCCTCCAAGGATGCTGTAAGTTGTGGGAAGATGACCAAAGGACTCTAGGCAGATAATTAATAGCTCCTAGTTATATATGCTCAACTAGCTAAGCTGAAGCTAAATCCCTAATTTAACTCTGTTACAGCTGCAAAAACAAATCATTTCAAGCTCCTATGAAAGCAAAATATATTAAACAAACATTATCGACCTTGCTAATACCACATGGCATTTCTTGTGATAAATGAGGGCGTATTTCTGGCAAACGCCTGTTTTATGGCATCATTTAGACATAAAGGATACCTTTACCCTAGCAATACAAGCATCCTTGATAGAAAGTATGGGGTGGTTAATTACTCATTAAATGGCTGCCAGTCTGGAAGTAAGTATTTCTGGGTTGGACCTAGTTAGTTACTTATTGGCCTCTGGGTAAATCATGTAGATAGAATAACAATTCTTAAGAAAAAGGGAAATCAAATTGGGAACTTACAATGCCTGTGAGTTTAGGTAAAGAAAGATCTGTTGGTTACTAAGTGCCCAGAAGGGATTGTGTATTATGCTCTTGAAAAACAAAAAGTTTTAAAGTAGCCAAAATCTGTTTTTATTCCCATGTGAAAAACTGGGGGGTTCTTTAGTGGCCAAAGTGCCAGATCTTCTAAGGAAATGAGAATGGAAATAAAAAGAAATTGACTTTCCTTATATCTCCAATTATTATTTTTACTACTATTTTCAAATTTGTCTTCCACTTGGAAGTAATAAAATGAAGACTTTTAGAGTTAGGGAATAGGTATGCAGCCAACTGGGGGAGGAAAAGACAACAAAGAAAAATTCAGATATGCCCCACCCCAGACATAAACAGCTTGGATACATGAGAATTGTTTAGCGTAATGTTGCCTTCTTATGTTGTATTGCCCAAGTCATTTTCTTATTGAGTGTTTTGGATTGTTGTCTCCCAGAGGAGAAATCCCTAGGTATTTGTGTGCGATAAAGGGCTAAATTTTATTTTTCCAACTTTGAATATAACCGTGGAGGGGTTGCTTATAGTAAAATCCTTAAGTGGAGTTTTAGTTGGGGGTTCTTTTCAAGAAGCATTTATTAAACCCCTCTTGTGTGCTGCACCCACTCTGACAGGCACCTTGGGATATGCAAATAAGAATGAGGTACAGGTTGTCCTCTCCAAATACTTAGAGAAACACCCAGTGCCCCAAGGCTATGGAGGGCTTGAAGGTGGTGAGCAGAAGAATGGGACAGGGTGACCAAGGGTCAAGCCATCATGACCAGTGGCCTGGAGACCATTACATTCCTGTCTCTGCTCATGTCAGGGAATCTGTTCTAGAGAATTTGAAAGCGAAAGAGCTAAAGCGGCTCCCTACCCCCAACCCCACTTTAAACTTTGTCCTTAGTTCCCTCAGAATTTAACTCAGGGAGAATCTCCTTGGCTTTTGCTACTATCTGTCAAAGATAAAACTTTCTCTGTGTGTTCATTATGTAGTAGGTGCTCTGGAAGATACAAGAGAAGTGTAGTTGTGGTCTGTAACTTCCAGTTTATAGTCTGATTGAGGGTGCACAAAAGGAATTGACGAATACTAGATAAGTGGGTCAGGTCCATGTTATATAGCACTTAGTGTTCAGGAAATCATTTGGCAAAGCCCTCAAAACAATGCACTTACTACAATCTCTGATAACCCAAGTTATGTGTGTTGTTTTCAGAATAACTGACAGTTTTACTCTAGGATTGTTGTCTGATGGTTCCCTTTCAGTCTAGAAGTTTGTCAGTAAAGGTACACAATAATAATGAGAAGCAGCATGATTTAGTAATTATGAACAAGGGTTCTGGAGCCGACTGCTTGGGTTTCCAGTTCTAGTCACAACCTGTGTGACCCTAGGTAAACTACTTAACCTCTCTGTACCTCCACTGTTTCATCAGATGTAAGAAAATAGTCACATCCACCTTATTAGTTTGTAGTGAGAATAAATTGTGTTAAAGGACTTAGAACGCTACCCGCACATAGTAAGTGTTGTATAAGGCTAGCTGTTATTACTAGGTTTGTGCAAAAGTAATTGCAGTTCTCGCCCTTACTTTTAATGGCAAAAACCGCAATTACTTTTGCACCAGCCTAATGGTATTTGCCCACTTACAACTGTAATTATCTAGATAACAATACCATAGGCATACTTATCAAATTTGCAGCTATCATAAAACGATTTTGGAGAGCTAATATGTTGAATGACAGAATTGAGATTCTGAAACATAAGCTAGAGGATGGATCAAAACAAACAAGTTAAGATTTGGTAGGGAGAAATAGCCCTCTACTTATATTCAGAAAATTAACCACAAAGATAGAAGGTAGAGAACACCTGAACTAACAGCAGCCCATGTGGGCATACAAATGAGGTAGCCGTGAAGCCAGGATTTCTGTTGCTGTGGTTACATGAAAAGCATTTACAAGACTGGTGCAATAGCCCACGCCAATAATCTCCACACTTTGGGAGGCTGATGTGGGAGGATTGCTTGAGGCCAGGAGTTTGTGACCAGCCTGAGAAGCATGCAAAACTCTGTCTACACAAAAAAAGAAAAAAAAAAAGGCCTAGCATGGTGGCTGATGCCTGTAGTCCCCAGCTATGCAGAAGACTGAGGTAAAAGGATTGCTTGAGCCCAGGAGTTCTAGGCTGCAGTGAGCTGTGATCATGACACTGTACTTCAGCCTGGATGACAGAGTGAGATCCTGTCTTAAAAAAAAAAAAAGGAAAAAGAAAAGCATGTACAAAACAGGTCTAGGAAGAAAAGATAATATTCTCACTGCACTCTGCCCTGGCCAGACCGTATCTGGAAACTTCAGTTATTTATGCTGTTCTTTAAGAATACACATCCACATCTATTGATGTGTGGTAGTGAAGGAACTAAAAGCCGTAGCATGCAAATCAATGTAACCCGGAATAGGGAAGACATGCGTATTATTATCCCCTCACATTTGAAGACTGTCACTTAGAGGAGAACGTGTAATCCCGTTGGTCCAAGGTAACAAAAATATCTGAAGTGGATTGGATTTTCTCTTATTTAAGAAAACCTGATGGCCATGAGTGAAATTGAGCAGAATGGCAAGAGACCTGACCAATGAGACTGGAAAAACTGGAATTTTGACCTCAAGGCAAGTCATTTAACTTGTCTGGTTTAGTTTTCTCGTCTGCAAGATAGAGATTTATTCATTCAGCCTTTCTGCAAATGTTTATGAAAGCCTTACTGTGTGCTAAGCACTATGCTTTCTGCAGAGTGAACAAGGCAATCTCATTTTGTGTCCTTACAGAATCTGAAAACTGGAAGCAGACAAATAAATAAGTAATAAGTATAACACACAGTTGAACTCACAGGGCTTAGACTTTCCTACTAACTCCTCCACCTCTGTCTGGCATATTTTAGAGGGACTGGCTTTGCTCTGTGTGTTTCCTTTTATCTCTCATTTTATGATTCTTTGAATGTCTATAGAGGGTAAGAGAAAATGAGATTAATGTGGTCCTTCGTTTAAACCTTATTTAATAAGTAATACCTTTTTCCTTTGGGGAAGAGAACTTAAACTAGTAGAAATATCAATTGACTAAGGAGACAGGAGATAGGAATTCTTTTCCTGACTCTGATGTCTATCATTAAATAAATTACTTTTTGCAGTCTAAATTTCTAGGCCAGGAAATAATTTTAAATAAAAATAAATGTATGAGAAGAATATGAATACATACTGAAGTAGTAATGTGAGTCTATGGAAAAAGAATGTTATATAATTTGTGTTTTAAACTATTTCATATCCTAAAATTCAAAGGGATTTGATCACTTTATATAAGTAGGCCCTTTGATTTTATAGGATATAAATTTGCTTTTTTGATTTATTCCTGGTATTCTCATCATAGAAGTCACATGTTGGTCTTTGATATGTTTCAGAAGAATAAAATCATTTTGAATTTCAGAAGATATAGATCTTTTGATGGACCTTCCTGAACTTCATAGGCCATAGCTGTGCTGTCGTTTTTTTTTTTTAAGCCGTTCATTTCTCCTAGTCTTTGTTGCTATACTTTGGTCTGGAAAGTTCTTGTCCCTTTTTGTAGCTCCCTTTTTGGTTAACATTGTTCTCATCATGTGTTCATTTCCGGCGTAACTTCTAAAGAAAGTGTTAATGTACCATTGGATTCCACATTGACTTCAAAGTTTTTATTTACTGACCTTTCACTGGGAGAGAAACTGATGTAGGTACGGTTTTAAGATAGAATTGGGTAGGTTAAGATTCTCCTTAATTTCTAGCTAAGTTCCTTGAAAAACTACGCTTTTCATGGACCTAAGAATAAAAGCTACTTGAGAGATTTTCTAAAATCTATTATACTCCCTAAAGGCAGAAACATACTTAAGTGAAAAACTTGCCATTTTAAAGTATCAGTAAATAAGGAAATCTAGTAATATAGCAGTACCAATTTATTTCTTGCATTAATATTTTCATCTAATCATTTGTACATTCAGCAAACTTGGACCATACACAGTCCCAGAAATTGAGGTGTAGGGGTAAAGTACAGGTTAATTTTACAGTAGGATATATGCCTGCATGTATGGCTGTACATCTTTATACCTTGAAATATGTTAACATAAAAGAGTTTTAATTAAATTACATTAATAAAAAACCAAAGAATATAAAACTCCTTCCCTTTTTTCAGATGAAAAATGGTGCAAGCCTGAAAAGCAGTGAGCCTTGAGATCAGGATGACAGCTGGTGTTTGACCATGTTGATTACAGTTTTGCATTGTACTTTAAGACTTCTGGGCATGGAAAATCTTTTACACCCCTAAAGACTTTTTTGCAAGACTTTATAGACTGCCCTCCCCTCCACCCCTAATTCTAATGCTCCAGATATAATTGAACATTTCTCCTTTGCAGCCTCCCTCCCTCCACCCTCATGGACTCCTGTCATGGGCCTGTGACTTTGTGTTTCACTTTTGTGAGTACAGGGCCCTAGCACCAATGTGTCAACACTGGGATCTCTCAAAGTGTGATTTAAGTACTATTTGCATCAGAATCATGAGTGTGATTTGGGTAGGGATGGCTAGACCCTTCCTGGGACCTGCTGAAGTCAGAATCTGTGGGACTTTTTAACAAGCTTTCCTGTTGATTTGAGTGCATACAAAGTTTGAGAAACAGTAGTTTAGCCTATAGGATGTTCTTAGTGAATGAGTCAAGCCATACTTCAGTTTTCTCTAGTTTATATAGGCACATTTCCTTTAACTATTTATTCTACATATGTTCAATATTTTAGCCATTGGGATATCAATCGCCTGAAACATCTCCAGGTTTCCATGTTTTCCTTCCATTCTGGAAATGTCAGTGATATTCTGACAGGGTCTACCTGGTAGTGAATACAAAGAAAGGATGGACCTAGCCCAAATTCTTTACATATATTGCAGCTTCTGTTTTATTTTATTTTATTTTATTTTGTTTTTTGTTTTGTTTTGTGACAAGAGTCTTGCTCTTATTGCCCAGGCTGGAGTGCAATGGCACCGTCTTGGTTCACCACAACCTGCCCCTCCCAGGTTCAAATGATTCTCCTGCTTCAGCCTCCGGAGTAGCTGGGATTACAGGCATGTACCACCACGCCCGGCTAACTTTTTTTATATTTTTATTAGAGATGGTGCCTGTCCATGTTGGTCAGGCTGGTCTCGAACTCCTGACCTCAGGCGATGCACCCGCCAAGGCCTCCCAAAGTGCTGGGATTACAGGCGTGAACCACTGCGCCTGGCCTCCAGCTTCCTTTTTAATACACCCTAATGTCATGCCTAATTTTTATTTTATACTTGGTAAACATAGTTGGTATTTGAGTTTTGAGATCGCCTTTACCTCCCTCACTTTATTTGCTGCAACTGGGTCGTCTTTCACCAAGATGACCACAGTGGCCTTCTAACCAGTTTTCCTGCTTTTCTTCTGACTTTTTCTAAATCTTGTCTCAATTGCAGCAAGCGTGATCATATTAAAATTCAGATTGACTCCTGGTACTCCTCTCTTTACAATTCTTCAGTGGCCTCCCAATTCTTTTGGCATGAAGACCAGCATCCTTAATGACCCTGCCCACCTCCTCAGTTTCAACTCTTGCCTTCTTGCCACTTTCTCCCTCACACACTGTTCCAGCCACGAAGCCTTTCTTCTGTTCCTCAGATGCACCACTTTCTGCTTACCCACCTCAGAGCCTTTGCATGTGGAGTTGCCTCAGAATATTGCCATCCCCAGCATGACCCCCAGCTCATTCTTCAGGCCACTACCTTATATGTTACTTTCTCAAGAACACTGACTTAGGACCTATCAGATTCTCTTCATTGTAATGCTTGAACTGCCATCCCCACACCCACCATTAGGTTTCCTGCTTTCACCATCTTTTCTACGAATCCTAGGTGGGAGTCATCTGTAGATACAATTAACATGTTTCCTATTCAGTAAACCAATTATGACCTTGCAAGTTTCCAGGCACTTTTTTTAAATTTTTATTTTTTTGCACACCACCCCCTTCAGCACTTTTTTTTTTTTTAATTTTTGAGTAGAGGACCTCTTAGAGCCTTTATTCTGCTAATGTGCAAGAAAAGTATATGACATTTCCTAACTTGCTTAACCATAATATCCTCTCTTTCCAGGACTAAGATTCCTCAGATATAAGGTGCAGTTCCCTGCTCTGGGCACTGCACTGTCAGAGTTTATTTGCATGTAATCTGTTTCAACTCCAACTGGATACTGCAATTCAGTTCTGGCACTGACAATCCAGAATTAGCACAGACCTCACAAATTAAAGGCCCAGTCCCCAACAAGACTGCTCCCACTTCAGATGCCAGTGCATGTTCAGGAGTTTCCCAGGCCACCTGCCCAATGACTGACTGGATACAAGTTGAGGGGTTCTCACCCCTCCTCAGGTTTGATAATTTGTTAGAACAACTCACAGAACTCAGAAAAATGCTGTACATACAATTGCAGTTTTATTATAAAGGATATAAACCAGGAACAGCCAAATGAAGGGACTCAGAAGATAAGGTCTGGGAGGGCCATAAATGCAGAGCTCCTTGCCCTCTCTCTGTGGAATCAGGCTACATCACCTTCCCATCAAATTGTTATGATCATCCGTGAGGAAGCTCCTCTGAGCTTCAGTGTCCTGAGTTTTTACTGCGGCTTCATTATGTAGGCATGATGGATTGAATCATTGGCCATGCAACTGAACTTAATATCCAGCCCTCTTCCCCTTCCTGGGGGTCAGGCTGGCTGAAAGTCCCAACCCTCCAATCTCATGGTTGGTCTTTCTGTTGACCACTCCTCATCCTGAAGCTATTTAGTGGCCCATTGTGATTCACCAACAGCATAAACTCAGGTGTGATCTTAGGGGTTCGTGAATAACGAGATATTTATATCACTTGGGGAAATTCCAAGGGTTTTAGAAGCTCCCTGCCAGGGACAAAGACTAGAAAAATTGTTATACAGTAGCCCGAGACATTGAATGGGACATTTTCACAGCAAAAATGGAACCTGGATGAAAGAAGGGTGAATGATATATGTGATTTCCCACTAGGGAATGAGGAAGCTTTTGGCCCACTTGCCCTGTTCCCTCATTTCTAGTCAGCTACTTCTAACACTGACAGCATCCACTTGGGAAAGGGAGATTTCTGGTGGTATCTTTTGGGTACTTCTGGGACCAAGCAGCTTCAGAAGCAGACAAGAAACTGACCAACTCTGGGCCGCTCAGCCTGCCTGCAGCTCTCTCAGAGCCCTAACTCAGGGTGGTGGGACAATGGGCGGGCACATTCAGTGACTCTGATCCCCACTCTTAAATTCTGGCGAAAAATAGGGTGTGTTTCTTTCTTAAATAGATATTAAAGTAACCACAAAATTGATTTTGTTTATTACCTTTAACTGAAAAAAAATATGGTACTTACCATATACCACTTCTGGAAGGAAACTAGCATTCTAAAACCTAAGACATATGGGCCTGTATCAATTTCCAAAAGATTGAAAAAACATTCTAACCAGGTATAGACCAGTGTACTAAGGATTATGTCTTACCAATATTTTTTCAATAAAGAAAGTAAATCATGGAGCACTGAACCAAAAACTTTGCTGAAAATTGCTTCTCTTTTAAATCAGCAGACTTGTACCTCTGACACAGAAGGCTTAGTTTGAATCTTGGTCTCCTTCTCTATCTTTATCAATAAAGATGTTTTTCTTGAGTCCTAGACTTTTAAAGACCAGGCAAAATAATAGATACACATGATGTGGTGGCTGGGAGGCATCCACACTCAGTGGGATAAGTAATAAATTAGAAGCACAAGAGCTTGGTCTTCTGTTTATAGCCCTGCCACTGATTTATTATATGGCCCTGAGCCAGCCTTTTCACAGTCTTGTGGGTCAACCTCTTCAACACTGTATTTTGAGGGAAGATTAAACTGTCTTGACTATGTACAATTCAAATGTTACAAAATATCAGTTGAACCGAAAGTGACATATCCTAATTCAGTAATTAGCACATCACTGCAATTTTTTCCCAGAAACCATAGGGAGGCTCTCCAAATGATCTCTTAGATAAAGAGAAGTCTTATTATTGCCTAATAATGGATGAAAAACCTTTGGGAAAATGATGTGTCTCATCCATTGTTAGGATAGGGAGTTTTAACTTGAGTAAAAGGTTCCGGATAATGCTAAAGGTTCCAGGCAGCCCCTTTAGCCCAACTTTTCCTGTGTGATCTTCATCTCTCAATAATGTCACCCACTGACATGCATCTGCGTGCCTTTCCCTTTCCTCTCCACTCCCATTATTAGATGTTGTCTGTGTGAGCCATCATCCTTGCAGGAGTTTTACAGGGTTAATAAATAAATAATACCTCTTCTTTCTCATGCCAAGAGACAGGAAGATGGAGATTAAAATATAGCATATATTGCTTATAGATTACATTTATTATTATGGAGTGGACCCCTAAATTAGATGGACTTACTCACCTGACCACAGCTGGAGTCCTGAACACCATGATGTCCTCTTAATACCGCAGACAGAAACCTGCTTCCTGAAGGCAAGCTGAGCATGCCAGGGTCCTTCTTCTCAACTCAGCAGTCAGATACCTAATTTCTCCATCTGTGAGGAGGACTGGACGAGGGATGGGGAGAGAAACTAGGAATGTCACTCTAGGGAATTCTTTTCAAATGGCAGCAGGAGTTCCAGACAATAGGAATTTTCCACTGATACAAATAGCTTATCTGCAACTACTAAATGTATAGTTAAAAGATTGGCTTTGGAGGTAGTCACAAACGTGTTTCTAGAGAGATAGAAAGCCTGGAAAGAAGGCAAAAGAGAAAAGAATAAAGGAAAAGAAAATAGACCCAGGCAGCCCCTAAATCTTGCACAACATAAAGAATCTGGTTGGGGTGAAAATGGAGAAATTCAATCGTGGATTTAAAGGAAGCTGATGAAAGTAATCTTTTTCACTTTGAGACTGTTCCTAGCACTACTCGGATCCACTCTGATGACTTTAATTTTATAAAATTGTTATCATTACCAAAATAGCTCAAGTAGAATTACTCTAAGAAATGCTGTCGGGATTTTTTAGGAGGTTTTAGCAAAGAAGAGGACAGGTTTTGTTTTAAGATACTGTAAAGTTCAAAGAGATGAGACTCTCATAAAATATGAGGAAAAAGAAGCAGGCATTAGGAATGGGGAGTGACGTGAAAGAGAAGTCAGAGGGAAACCTGGTGGGACACTGTGTGTGATAGAAGCTACAGAGGGGAGGAGGCTGATGTAAGAAGCGACTTACGAATCCAAGCTGGAGAAAACAAGTTCCAGAAATAGTAAGAAAAGACAGCTTGCTTTTCAGGTAACCCCCCAAAATAATCTGAACCTGTAAGCCAATAGGAGGTTCTTGGGCTTTTGAAGCAATCATAAAATTAGAGCTGTAGCTGGGGAATCGCAAAAGAGAGTTAGTAGTGGTTTAATATAATGCTAAATACCAGGGGAAATCACTGTAGAAAGTGTAAGTGGAGCACACATTGGATTCTCTATGAGGCAAAAGTGTTCAGAAAGGGACTGGAGCTAGGATAAGGTGAATGAGGCATGTTCTTTGGGTATAGAATTTAAGGAAGTTCCAAAAAACCCTTAGTAATCAAGATTTTAAAAATAATATGATATTCTTTAAAAATCAAAATTAATGCAAAAAATCCATGATGAACAAAATATAAAAGCTTAACTAGAGACAGGATTAGAATTCCTGATTTCTCCTTTTGTCACAGGTTTTAATATGGCTTGTCACTGATTCAGAGAAACATTCCAGTAAGATAGTTTATTTATTTTATTTTATTTTTATTTTTATTTTTTGAGATGGAGTCTCACTCACTCTGTTGCCCAGGCTGGAATGTAGTGATACAATCTCAGCTCACTGCAACCTCTGCCTCATGGGCTCAAGCAACTTTCTTGCTTCAGCCTCCCTATTAGCTGGGATTATAGGCATGTGCCACCGTGCCTGGCTAATTTTTATATTTTTAGTAGAGACGGGTTTCATCATGTTGGCCAGGCCGGTCTCGAATTCCTGACCTTAAGTTATCTGCCCACCTCAGCCTCCCAAAGTGCTGGGATTACAGGCATGAGACACCACGTCCAGTCAAGACAATTTATTTAATTAGGCATCTTCCCCTGAAGGTCTCAGTAGTCCAAGTAACCCAGCCTAGCATTTGCCTTGTTTCAAGGATGGTAAGGTTGACCTTGCTTCCCTGTCTGGGATTGCAGGAGAATGTATAGGGAATCCTGGTAGCCCCATGTTTAAGATAAAACTGATGGAGAAAGAGGGAGATCAACTGTGACAAGAAGCATTCTTTCCATCCACCACTAGCAGCTTTCATGTCTGAAATCATCAGCTTAGCTGAGCCCTATCTATGCATTTGTTTTTCAAATAAGAGTCCTTGGCGAGCAGTGTTTCACCGAGATTAATTTGTGAAGAAAAGAGCCAAGCTTTCCTTGAGGAAAGGAGTTCAAGACCAGTCTTGAGCAACACAGCAAGACCCCTGGGTCTCTGCAAAAAATAAAAAAGTAAAGAAGGTAAAAATTTAAATCAGCCAGGTGTGGTGGTGTGCACCTGTAACCCCTGATACTCAGGAGGCTGAGGTGGGAGGATCACTTGAACCCAGGAGGTTGAGGCTGCAATGAGCCATGATTGCACTACTGCACTCCAGCCTGGGTGACAGAGTAAAACCTTGTCTTCAAAATTTAAAAAAAACTTAAAAAAAATTTTTTTTTTAAGTTCACATTGCTACTCTGCTTCAAACTCTGGTTGTTCCTGTATCTTATTAATTAGGGCTTCTCACTCTGAGCACTCAGTCTTATGTTCTAGCTTCTCTTTATCATTCCAAGCTTTTTTCTTCATACTCCTCTTTCTACAATGAGCCACAGACAACTAGAATATCCAGTGCTTTCATTTTTTTGACTTGAGGCTTTATAAATGAACGTTCCTTTTCCAAAATCTCTTTTCTTCTTCAGGACGAAGCTCAAATGCCCCCATGTCTACACAGCCTTCCTCCATCTCCACAACTAGTGGTGATTGTTTCCTTCTTTGCTCATCTCTTATCTTCTGCTGTTTATAGATTTGTATTCTTCTTCCCCTCACCCTTCATCTTCAGAGGGGATGCTAATGCCTGTGAGGTCCCACGCTGTATTCACTAATGAGTTAAATTATGTTATTTCATGCAAATTGATTCATATTTTTTGTCCTTGTTGTTTTGTCATCTGCAGGGGACAGTTTTTATGATATCTTCCAAAAGGAGATAACTACTTTGGAAGTTCACCTTTATAGTTGATTGGTGTTAGTCATAAAATGCCACATTGCCCCTTTCATTAGGCTCTGCCTTTTAAGCAGCTGTATAACTGTGGACAGAATTACTTTTTCACCTTATGCCTCAGTTTCTTATTCTGTAAAATGGACATAATGCCTACCTCATAGAATTGATATGAGAATTAAATGAATGTAGACATACACATGTATTTATATATCTTTGTTTATGTGGATATAAGGTACTTATGACAGTGCCTGGCTTATAGTAAGCCTGACTTACGTAAGTGTTTGCTTATAATGTAAATGTTTATCTATTTGCCTATTTCTTATTTATTTATTTTTATTTTTAAACTGCTTACCATCTTCTTAAAAGACTTTGGGGAAAGAACAGACAGAAGTAAATGAGAAAGTCTAGTCATAGACTGTTAGGGAAAAATGGGATAAAAAATACTAAGTTTAGACTGATTTCAATATACTAGAAGCTGAATTTATAAGATTATATTATTAATATTAAACTTACCTTATACCACTAAAAGCGCTATTGAAGCATCTTCTCCTAAGAAAAAAGTAACTCAGCAACTCAAGTTATGCCTTGGGAAGTGAAGATCTATGTTACAGATCATTATATTTACAACTTTTGGGGTAGATATTTTGCAGATAAAAAAGTAGTCAGATTCTTTAAAACAGTGCACTTGTTTACTTATGTGCCTTAGCAAAAATCAAGATTTATTGCCTTTCAAGATAAATTTTGACTTAATATTGACTTTAGGTTCTCAATCATTGTTTACCTGAAAGACCAATAAATCTTGGCACTTCTCAACTTGAGTTGGAATCTACTGGGTATTTATTAATTTATTTCACACGGTTTATAATCTTAATAATAACATTCTATGAGATTAAATAAACATTGTAGAGTTTAGCAAGTTCATATTTTCAATCAGCAGAAATTACTTTATTTCTTACTTGAATATAGTACCTCTAGCACTGGTAACACGTCATAGGTCCTGTATGTCAAAGCTGACTTAGCTATTTGAATATTCAGAGGGGGAAACCCAAAATAACTCTTAATAGCTTACAGAATTCCTTTATATTCCAAACCAATTAGTATTCATATTGGAGTTTCTAATCTGAATTGGTTGTATTTTTTTTGTTTGCCTTAGTTCTGCAAGTATAATATAGTAATACATGATTATACTTCATAGATGGCCTCTGTCTTAGACACTTTATATCTGTTGGTTTTAATCTCTGTCTCAGGCATCTGTTCTTGTCTCTCTCTCTATGTAGTGTGTATTGAATATTCACTGTATCTCAGCACAGTACTAATACTTTACAAACATAATTATTTGCCATATTGCTGTGTTGGCAGGGATTTTAGAGACAGGGTCACGCTCTGTCACTTAGGTTGAATTGTAGTGGTGCAATAACAGTTCATTGAATCCTCGAAATCCTGGGCTCAAGGGATTCTCCTGCCTCAGCCTCCCAAGTAACTCAATTGCAGGTGCAGACCACCACACCTGGCTAATTTTTAGAAACTTTTTTGTAGAGATGGGGCCTCACTCTATTGCTCAAGCTGGAGTACAGTGGTGCAATCATAGCTCTCTGTAACCTCGAACTCCTGGCCACAAGCAGTCCTCCCATCTTGGTCTCCCAAAGTACTGGGATTACCAGATGTGAGCCACCAGTGCCCAGCTGGAAATTCTTTGGTTAGGTACATTCATTGTGTCCAGGAGGAGTTACTTACTTCTGTAGCATTCTTAAGATCAGAGCTGTGCTAGCTATCGTGGCAGTCCATTCTACAGGTGCCAGCTGAAGTTATCCTAAATGTGTGTCACCCATGGTAGGAACATGCTTTTTTTTTTTTTTTTTTGAGATGGAGTTTCACTCTTGTTGCCCAGGCTGGAGTGCAATGGTGCGGTCTTGGCTCACCACAACCTCTGACTTCCGGGTTCAAGCAATTCTCCCGCCTCAGCCTCCTGAGTAGCTGGGATTATAGGCATGCACCACCACGCTCAGCTAATTTTGTATTTTTAGTAGAGATGGGGTTTATCCATGTTGACCAGGCTGGTCTTGAACTCTCAACCTCAAGTGATCCACCTGCCTTGGCCACCCAAAGTCCTGGGATTACAGGCGTGAGCCACCACACCCAGCAGGAACACGCTTTTTAACATGTGTCAACTCTCTGTGCAGCCAAACTTTTTTCTTTTTTCGTAGACAGAGTCTTGCTTTGTGGCCCAGGCTGGAGTACATTGGCAGAATCTCAGCTCACTGCATCCTCTGCCTCCCAGTTTCAAGTAATTCTCCTGCCCCAGGAGAGGCAGGGATTACAGGCATATAGCTCAGGATACAGGTGTGTTCCACCACGCCCAGCTAATTTTTGTGTTTTTAGTAGGGCTTTCACCATGCTGTTTTTAGTAGGGGTTTCACCATGTTGGCCAGGCTGGTCTCAAACTCCTGACCTCAAGTGATCAGTCCACCTTGGCCTCCCAAAGGATTACAGGCATGAGCCACCACGCCCGGCTTTGGAGTGGAACTTTATGAGTCAGTTTCAGCCAGCAAGGAATGACAGTTGGCTGTCATTCTCATATATAATCTCTTACTGCTATAAAATTTGTAGGTGAACATAAAACGAAGCCCATCCAAAAAAATTTGTTTTGATGAGCAGAAATGAATTGTCATGTAGCTTTAAAAACAACCATCAGCACGCAGAACTGTATTTGAGAATGTG